AAAAACTCCAAATCGCCCAAATTCAATGCTCATAAAAATCCTATTCAATTTTCTATCATACCCTCTTCTTTGATCTGCATAAGAATCCTAGAGTCATCGTCGAGACTTAGTTTTGTACCTCATGGTCTGATTTTGACCCTGGTTCATAACTAGCCTTCTCCGGGTATCAATATCTAGTTTTTCTATATAAATTTTACTAGAATTTATTCTTAATTTCTTTTTAAAGATGTCCATATCATTTATTTTTCCAATCTACTTTGTTTTGTCTTACTTATGGTCCTACAAAGTAAGTAGAAGTCACCTTTCTAAAAGGCAACATTGGTACCTTTTTGCTTTACTATCCTTTTGACTATTAACTATATTTCTAAGATAGTTTGTTCTAATACTTTAAACTAAGATCTCCTACATTACAATAATTTTCACACTCTTTCACCTATTAGTTGTGTTACATCACGACAACGGTCCCTATTATAATTGGAGAAACTCGTTTTCTGACACATTATCTTATTTGGTAATTGTGCTCCTCATTTTGTAATTGTGTTGCTTCTTTGAACAATATTGAGCAATGTGCTTAGCTTTTCCACAATATAAACATAATCCCTCTTGGTGACATTGAGTCTTTTTCTGCTTTGTGAGAGGTTTAAAATGTATCATATTAGTTTGCATTGGTTCCGGCTTTGACGAATATGTTTTAGAAAACTTGGGATCTGCCGCCATTACTTGATTTGTTCCTCTCTAATCAAATCTTTATTCTAAATGCTTTTCAAATAAATGGTTATCACATGCAATGGCTTGAGTAATAAATTATTCTAAAGATTCTACTTTTGGTATTGTTAATAATAAATCTTTGACACTATCCTTCAATCAATATCAAAATTGGTTGATAAGTGCTTTGTCATTCCAATCCATGTTACAAGCAAGGTTTTGGTATTTAGCAACACATGTAGTGGTTCATTGTGATCCTTGTCGTAAGGATAAAAGCTTGGTCTCTACTACTTATTCTTCATTACTTTCTCCAAATGTGGTCGTAAACACTTGTAAGAATGAATTCAAATCATAAAGGAGTCATGAATCTTTTTTCATTAAAGGTGAAAACCAAGAGAGAGCACTTCCTGATAGTAGTACGCCTATAAATCAGACTTGGATAAATCCATCAAAATATTGGAAAAGGTGCAACCTTAGATAGAATTTAACATGTTGCAAAAATCCTTGAAATTTTGTTCTTGTTCCATCAAACTTCTCAAGCATACTAATCCTTGTCCTTGTCATACTTGTAGAAGCAAAACTCCTTGAATTTGATTGTGACATTGATCTACTTACTTCTTTCAATTGCACAACTTCTTGCTGTAGACTCTGAACTTCTTCTATAGGTGTAGGCATAGTACTTCTATGATTCACGTTGGAAATATGTGAGATTTTTACTCTTAGAATATTGAGAAGCTCATGAAGATCTGCTATAGTTGCAAATCTATTCTATTGAGAGTAGCATCCATAATCTTTCCTTCCATAGACAACTCAAACGAATTCAAAAGTTAAATTAGAGGAGGATAATCCGCAACCTCTAAAAACAAATCCCACAAAGAAGGGTAATCCACTATTTTTAAGAAAAAGATCAGTGTTAAAAAATAAGATTTTTTTTTTTAAAGGTAGATAGTCTGCATCCTTCAAAACACAATAATAGAAGTGGGATAATCCACTTACTTCTAAAACAAGATAGAAAAAATATGTTAGTACTCTTCTCAAACTGTCAAAGATATGAATCTCAAAGAAAGAGAGTCCTCAATACACTCTTCTATCACTAAAGAGAACTAAAAAGTCACTCAAAAGATGATGTAATATTAACTAGAATGGCTATTGCCAAAAATAAGAAAGACTAGAAAGTCTTGAAACAAGGCTAAGATTAGAAAGGTATTGACAAGAGTGCAAAAGGCTTCACTCTTGCCTCCATATATACTATCTAACTAAGAGCTACGTGGCAATGTCCTATAGGACCTCCAACATGTGTTGACTTTGCTAGCCACATGTCTTATATTGCAAGGCAAGTTATCTATGTATATGCCACATAGTTTGCTTGTCCCACAAGCTATTACACGGAGATAACTTGTTCCACAAGCTACCAATACACGGTTAACTTTTTGGCCAAGTTTCTAACCTACAAACACATCTAAAGTCAAAATTATATCTATAAAGCTTCTAGGAAGCTTTTCTAGAAGACTTTATGAAATTATTCTATATTTACCTACTTCTATTTAATCATATAAGTAACTATTGAGGTAAATGTATACATCCATGATAAAAAGTATATTATAATTTGATTATTTTATTTATTTATTTGTCTTTGATGTACAGATAGTCCAATTCTATGTATTTTATATATTAATATATAATAAGATTTTTAATCAATCTAATACTATTTACATTATCTTATAACAATAGGATAGGATTTTTATTCTCTAAGTGGAGTTTCTAAAGCAGTTTATAAAAGTATGTGATATTACAAGCATTTTTAGATAAAATATAATATGTTATTTTTGTTTGTAAGAGTGTAATTGATGTTTGAAGCTTCCTTGACCATCATATAGATATTAACTTTAGTTTGTATAGTATGCCTAATATCAATTTATGGAAATTGATGTCTCCTACCTAATCAATATTTACATATTTGAATAGTTATTATACATACATATATATATATATATATATATATATATATATATATTTTTATCTAAAAATAAAGTATTAGATAAAAAATAAATATAAATAGAATTGATATTATCTTATGGCAAAGTTTCTTAGAAGCTTCATAAATACATATTTGACTTTATACATGTTTGTAGTTGATTGTTAGGTTGGAAACTTAGCCAACAAGCTAATCATGTATCATATATATATGGATATCTTGTGATACAAGCTAATGATGTGGTGTACATATAAGAAACTTATTTTGTAAGTTAAGACACATGTCTAACAAATTGAACATGTGTTGGAGGTTTTATAGGACATTCCTATATAGCTCCTAATTAGATAGTACATACAGAAGTAAGAATAAAACCTTCTTCACTCTTGTCAATGCCTGTCTAGTCTTCAGTCTTATTTCAAGACTTTTTATTTTTCTTGTCTTTAGCAATAGCCATTCTAGTTCAATATATTATCATCTTTATGTGATTTTCTAGTCTTTTTGAGTAATATAAGAGTGTATTGAGATTTCATTTCTTTGACATTCATGTCTTTGAAAAGAATCATTTTTTTTAATAGATAAAATATTTCATAGTCTTGAGTACCTTAAAGTATTGTTATATCTTTTTGGCTCCAATTATATGAATAAGCTGAGGATTATTGATAAATCTTAATGCCTTATCTATTACAAATTAGATATTATAGTAACTAATTATAGTATAGAATAATCTTCCACAAGATTTTGATATAGTTTTTTATTGATTGTGAGAGTTTCAATTCTATTTTAGCTTTGTTCTAGGATCCATTGGTATCAAAGAAGATTTACAATGAATTAATCCAAACTTATCCAATAAGATGTAATGTTTCTTAAGAAAATAGATTCTTTCAACAAATTGCTTTAGTTTAACTTTTAAGTAAAGTTTTTTTCCTCTCAAATCTGTCATTTTAAAGGTATTTATAAGTCTTCCTTTGAATACCTAGATGTCTATTGTATCATTTTTTGTAACTATTATGTCATCTACATAGAGCAATACGATTGTATAGTTTATATCTTAGATTTTGAAGTACATGTTAGGATCTTTATTGTTCTTTTGTAGATTTTGAACTTATAGATAGTTATCAATGCATCCATACTAAACTTTGAGGGCCTAATGTAGTCAATATAGTACCAATTCTAATTTACAAACTTTTCTTTACTCTCATTTTTTTTGAAACTTGGAACATATGTACTTTGTTTTTGAATATTTTGTCAAAAAATATTATTTTAGTATCTAAGTGTTGTAATTTCTAATTTTTTTCCCTTATTGCTAGTGATATGACTATTTTGATTGTTGTCTAGCTAACCAAATAGACAAAGATTTGGAAGAAATCTATTCCTTCTTCTTATTTAGAGTCACAACCTACAATCATAGTTTTAAGTTTTCTGATATTGCTAGTTGGTCTTAATTTTGTCTTGAATATAAACTTTGCCAAAATTGAGATTTTTTCTTTAGGTAGATTCATTAAACTCTGAATATTATTTTTTTACACAGATTTTACTTCTTATTTGATTGCATCTTGCCATCCAATATTTTAAATTGTTTCATTGTAGCTTCTTGCTTCTTATTCTATTTTAACCATGAATATGTAGCTATCTTTGAATCATGGATTAGGTTTTTTATTTCTATAAGATATTTGTAATAATGATTGTATTTTTTATTTGTTTGTTGAAGAACTCTCTTAGGTGCATTAGATTCATTACATGAGATGGTCTTAAAAACACCATCTACTTGTGCTGTATTTGTTTCAAGGTATGTATATACTTCTTCTACAAAATCAAGACTTATAAGTAAGTTACTTTGATAATTTATTTATTGGTTTATTATATAAGTTGTATCTTCAATTGACAATATTATTTCAAAAAATAGACCTACTTCTTCAAGTGGAATTATATTTCTTTATATATATTTAAAACCTATTAGAATTCCATCAATTACTATATTTTGACTAATTCAAATTTTACAATGTATGGAATCGAATAATCTATAAACTTTGATTTAAATAACATATCTCAAAAAGATACGCTTAATTTTATTTTTTCAAATATGCTCTTACCCACATCCAGATTGTGACACATGGAGGAGCAGCATCGTTTCTCCCCAGACACTTCTGTCGTTCCCCTGTGACCGGCTTTGTCAATTCCCTGGACCCGGATCGCTTGATTCACGAAATCCGAAGCACTACTCCAATCCCAAGCGTTGCACCCACCACAAGCGTACCGATCATATGCATCACACTTGACTAGTCTTCTTGTCCACTCCCACAATCATGCACAAAACAACAGCTCAAGGAAGGCCGGAATGGGATCCCAGGTGTGATGCCAGCACTTGGTTGAATAGAATCTTGGCTGATGGAGGGCGTGAAAGCGAGACACAACGTCGCCCCACGATGAATGCACACTACACTAGGCTAGGCTATAGAACAACGCCGACAGCTCAGTTCGCAGCGACGGCCGTCGACTCTGGCGCAAACCTAGCCTACTTCTCCACTCACTACAGCCTCAACTACAACTAACAGGGCGTACATATGCTTCGTGCTGTTGTGGTGCTCAGACGCGCGGCCTCCATGCCATGCCAGCTGCGCGTGCAGTCGGTTTGGGACGAATCCGAGGCGTTGCAATGCGCTACCTCCTGGATGCGCGTGCGCTCAAAGGTACGAGAGCAATTGGACGGCGCTGTGTGGTGACGCTCAAGCCTTGACGAAGCTGGCCTTGATGTGCTGGACTTGGTTCTGGTTCAGGTGGAACGCCTTCTCCAGCACCTCGTCGTTGATGGGAGGGTTGGCTGCGAACAGCGCCGGCGCCACTTGCTGCACTCCCGGGTTCTGGCTGCTGAGCGCCGCGATGGCCACCGCCGCGCCCTTGCCCACATTGAGCTGGAAGTGGACCAGCCCTCTGGGGAACACGAACACGTCGCCCGCGTACAGCGTGGTGGCGAACAGCGTGTTGTTGGTGGTGCTGACGAACCCGACGTACAGCTCCCCCTGCAGCAGCGCCAGGACCTCGGTGGCGCGAGGGTGGATGTGGGGTACGTTGATGCCGCCCTTGGCGAAGTCCAGGCGAGCCAGGGAGATGCCCAGAGTGTTCAGGCCGGGGAGCTGAGCGGCGGCCACGGGCGTGACGGCGTTGGCAGTGGGGCCGCCGGTGTTGCCGGGCTTGTCGAGGCCCCTGAACAGGAAGTCGTTCACCTTCACGTCGGCCGCGGGCTTGCACACCAGACCGTTGATGGTGAGCGTGCTGGAGGCGTCTGCGACGCAGAAGTCCTGGATGGGATCGGCGTCAGCCGCCATGGAGAGCATCGGTAGCAGAGCGGCCTGGACGAGGAGCGCCACGAACACGACGCGCTTGGCAAGCGTCTCCATTGTGCGCCCACTGCGTGACAACGATCGTTCACCGCTGGGGTTGGTTGGGAATCCCGTCCCCTCTCGGGTGTTGCTCGCTGGGTTGTCTTGTCGTGTCCTGAGCTGTCTTGTCCTGTCCTGGGGAATTTGAGCAACAAGAAGAGTCGTGGCCGCACTGATGTGTAGGGGCTTGGAGAGTGCTTGGTGAATGGAGCGATGGGAAGCCATGGGCTGCACAGCTCTTTTATACGCCGGAAGGATTCAAGGCCGTGCGCCAGGCAGCAGGTCTCGCTGCACGCGGTGCTGTAATGTCGAAAGGCGGCGCACAGCACAACGACGTCGCTGAACGTGAGGGGGCTTCACTTCGTCGTTGCAGGTCTCGACCCGCTGTGCTTTTCTCCGATATCTGGTCAATCGAGCGTTTCGCTGGATCCCGCGTGTTTTTTATACCTGAGAAAGCACCTCCGACCCAACTTGCCGGGACAAGCCCCGAAGCTGCGGAGGCTGTTGCGCTTTCGCATGTTGGAGGGAAGGGGGAAGGACGGGAGGGAGGGAAATTGATGTTGGGGGTGGAGAAGAGATTCCGGCACAAGAACATTCCATGAATGAGTGCCTTGGGATTATGTATTTGTTTGTTTGTTTGTTTGTTTTTTTTTGTTTTGTTTTTTTTTTGTATTCGATCTTATTTTAACTGTTGATTTTATTGTTTTCTCTCCCACGCGCTGTTGGATATGGTTTTGTGGTATTGAAGAATCATGAAAAGGACCTATTTAGTCATCAATATTTGGTGCTTGTTTGTGGGTTGAATTTGCTTAGAAGATGGATGAATGACATGTGAAGATGTACTCTTTCTTTTTGTCTTTCTTTCTTGTGTTGTATTGTTGCTAAGTAAGTATGTGCAGATGTTTTTATTGTCCTCTTTTATAGTTGTTTGAGCATAAAATGAGGTGGATGAAAGTCTCATGGACTAGGAAGAATATGGATGGCTTTGTTTTGAAAGGGCAAATAGAATGCAATTCTTAGTTTAATAAACTTTGATGAAAATGAATTAGGCATTGTAGATTTGACCCATTTTAAAGTTTGGGGTGGTTGAACAATACATATGAAATGTACATTCACAAGATAGTCAACAGTATGATGTTTGTTTAGTGATGTTTTGTTTTGTTTTGTATTTTTGTGTTTACATGGCTTGATGTAAATGTGTATAGATTGAGATTGTACAAACATGAGAAGGTTTTGGTGTGTAGATGGAGTACAAAATATCATGACACATGCATTTTGTGTACACACAATTTGTATTTGATTTATGATATGGCATTGTAATAAATCATTGTGTTTGTCAAATTAAGTCATTAGAAATTTATGAATTGTTAGTTTATGGAATTATTTTGTTTTAATTATTCATGATTATTTGAGTTTGGAAGGAAGAGAGTTTATAAATGCATGTTTGATTTATTTTGACAATTCATTAAAAAGACCAATTGATGCAATAACAAACAAACAATAGTTTTTGTTGGATTGGCTAGGAATTTGGTCAACACCACATTTAATCAAAGACAAACTTATTCTTCATTATGTATATGTTTTTGAAAGCCAAAATACGAAGAAGAATTGTTATTTTTAACTTTAGCCATGCATATGTAATGCCTATAAACACAATTTGAATGATTTGTTTGGTTTATAGAATTTTGTTGTTTGTACTCTAGTACTACAAATGAGTATTGCATTTAGATGGAATTATTAGTTCATTACTCTTAATGTTCTAGTCTAACTTGATTGTTTGTCTAACAATAAAAGCCTACATTATAAATAAAGCAAAATCAAATGAAATTGAATGAGATTTAATAAATAATTTAATCAATCAATAAACAAGTAATCAACAAAATATGTTACAATGTCAATTTTTATACCATCAATCTTCATGCATGCCATTTCAATTCAATCCAAAAATAAACAATGCTTTGATTGAGCTTTGTATTGTGATTCAAAGTCATTTTGTATTGCCACAAAGAACTTATGCTCATGATGTTTTTTTTGGCTAAATTTGTTAAAAAAATTCTTGAATACATGCCACAAGCTTGGACACAATGCAATTACTCAAAGTTATGTAATCCAATCTACAAACTAAACTCAATCAAAAAAATTTAAGACTTAGAGTACATATCAACCATTTATATTCTTTATTGTACCAAAGAAGTAAAACAGTTCCTTGAAGAACCTATTGAGTTAGACTTTGCCAAATATTTGACTTTAAAAGCTTACAATGGTATTTGTACTTGTACTTTGAAGAAAGATGATGGTCTAAGATTCTTGGTTGCTCTATTTACATGTAGAGAGGTAGAGACTCTTGCCAACCAATATAATGGAAGAATTGATAGGATTGGAGATTACAAAAATAAAATTGCAACAAGTTGAATTGGAAATAAACATCAACAATAATATTAGTAAACAAAGTGGTTGGATTAGAATTCTTGACTTGATTGAAAATGGCCCTTACAACTTGTATTGCACATTCTATTACTCTAACCTAATTGATCTTTTATACCTATCATATTGTTTTGGTTTCTATTTTTGCGGATATGTGTGTATATGAGTGTAAGTGCATGATTGTATTTATGGAAAATGCCAATATGTTTTTATAATGCATTGAACAAATACAAAAGTATAGAAGAAGTTAAATTTTCTACTTTTTCTTTTATTGCTTTGAAAACAAGTTGACAAAAAAGTTTAAAAATAAAACTAATAAAAAATAAAAAAAAATAAAACATTTACAAATACATGCATTCATACACATACACATATAAATTCAAACACAAGCCTTCAATACCAAAATCCCTTCTTTACTCCTTTTTGCAAACCATTTTGAACCTACCCCAAAACCACAAATGCCTTTGTGTGTGATGTGATGATTAAATGATGATGTATGTACACCAAGAAGTGAGAATATGTAGACATCCATGGATACACATACACATATCTAGAAGATACCCACAAAAGTAAAATAGCCCACAAAGATAACATGAATACTAAAAACACATAAAGTAAATAAATAAAACAAAAAGACAAAGCAGCTATTCATTCCGTTTCCATGGTTCTTTAACAACCCCTGTAAGTTTCAACATCCATACACCTAATCATAGACGCTACATGTCTCATCTGTGTGTATGTGCGTATGTACACACATACACAACCTGATTGGAAGGTCGTTCTGGCTAGATTAAATGAAAATCGAAGCACACAAACTGTGGGTGATACCAGCATGTGTCGCACTCGTATGCGTACACCGACATGGCTTCTACGGATCTAAACCATCCCAAAAACCCATGATTCAGTCGTTGCCTCCGACATTCTTGTCCGCCTCCAGATTGTGCCACATGGAGGAGCAGCATCGTTTCTCCCCAGACACTTCTGTCGTTCCCCTGTGACCGGCTTTGTCAATTCCCTGGACCCGGATCGCTTGATTCACGAAATCCGAAGCACTACTCCAATCCCAAGCGTTGCACCCACCACAAGCGTACCGATCATATGCATCACACTTGACTAGTCTTCTTGTCCACTCCCACAATCATGCACAAAACAACAGCTCAAGGAAGGCCGGAATGGGATCCCAGGTGTGATGCCAGCACTTGGTTGAATAGAATCTTGGCTGATGGAGGGCGTGAAAGCGAGACACAACGTCGCCCCACGATGAATGCACACTACACTAGGCTAGGCTATAGAACAACGCCGACAGCTCAGTTCGCAGCGACGGCCGTCGACTCTGGCGCAAACCTAGCCTACTTCTCCACTCACTACAGCCTCAACTACAACTAACAGGGCGTACATATGCTTCGTGCTGTTGTGGTGCTCAGACGCGCGGCCTCCATGCCATGCCAGCTGCGCGTGCAGTCGGTTTGGGACGAATCCGAGGCGTTGCAATGCGCTACCTCCTGGATGCGCGTGCGCTCAAAGGTACGAGAGCAATTGGACGGCGCTGTGTGGTGACGCTCAAGCCTTGACGAAGCTGGCCTTGATGTGCTGGACTTGGTTCTGGTTCAGGTGGAACGCCTTCTCCAGCACCTCGTCGTTGATGGGAGGGTTGGCTGCGAACAGCGCCGGCGCCACTTGCTGCACTCCCGGGTTCTGGCTGCTGAGCGCCGCGATGGCCACCGCCGCGCCCTTGCCCACATTGAGCTGGAAGTGGACCAGCCCTCTGGGGAACACGAACACGTCGCCCGCGTACAGCGTGGTGGCGAACAGCGTGTTGTTGGTGGTGCTGACGAACCCGACGTACAGCTCCCCCTGCAGCAGCGCCAGGACCTCGGTGGCGCGAGGGTGGATGTGGGGTACGTTGATGCCGCCCTTGGCGAAGTCCAGGCGAGCCAGGGAGATGCCCAGAGTGTTCAGGCCGGGGAGCTGAGCGGCGGCCACGGGCGTGACGGCGTTGGCAGTGGGGCCGCCGGTGTTGCCGGGCTTGTCGAGGCCCCTGAACAGGAAGTCGTTCACCTTCACGTCGGCCGCGGGCTTGCACACCAGACCGTTGATGGTGAGCGTGCTGGAGGCGTCTGCGACGCAGAAGTCCTGGATGGGATCGGCGTCAGCCGCCATGGAGAGCATCGGTAGCAGAGCGGCCTGGACGAGGAGCGCCACGAACACGACGCGCTTGGCAAGCGTCTCCATTGTGCGCCCACTGCGTGACAACGATCGTTCACCGCTGGGGTTGGTTGGGAATCCCGTCCCCTCTCGGGTGTTGCTCGCTGGGTTGTCTTGTCGTGTCCTGAGCTGTCTTGTCCTGTCCTGGGGAATTTGAGCAACAAGAAGAGTCGTGGCCGCACTGATGTGTAGGGGCTTGGAGAGTGCTTGGTGAATGGAGCGATGGGAAGCCATGGGCTGCACAGCTCTTTTATACGCCGGAAGGATTCAAGGCCGTGCGCCAGGCAGCAGGTCTCGCTGCACGCGGTGCTGTAATGTCGAAAGGCGGCGCACAGCACAACGACGTCGCTGAACGTGAGGGGGCTTCACTTCGTCGTTGCAGGTCTCGACCCGCTGTGCTTTTCTCCGATATCTGGTCAATCGAGCGTTTCGCTGGATCCCGCGTGTTTTTTATACCTGAGAAAGCACCTCCGACCCAACTTGCCGGGACAAGCCCCGAAGCTGCGGAGGCTGTTGCGCTTTCGCATGGTATTAGATTGGTGTATGTATTTAACATGATTTTATTAAATCTATGGAATGGGAACAGTTTTGTAGTTTATGTTAAATGAACTATTTGATTTAGCCTTATGTGTAATTGGTACATCAACCTATACATAATATGAGCGTAAGAAATTGATTGATAGTTGTTTTACTAATTACTCTTATGATTTTTATTATCTTTTTTTGTTATTAATTTTTTTAATTCTTTAAGCTTAGAGATATTTGTTTAGGAATTAAAGCTTATTCCTACTTACATACCCTAGTGAAAATATGGCAAGGCTTTGGTCATCAAAAATAAAAATAAGAACAAAAAAATAGTTGCAATCAATCAAATTAATGAAATCTTTTTAATTCTTGCCCTAATATATGTGAAGGCACAAATTTATGTTGCTTATTTTTTAGACATAAATATCTTAAAAATTAAAATCTTGGATAAAGGAAAAAACCTCAAATTTGATAAGAGATAGTACACAACCTTTATTTTTATGTTAGTTCAATTTTAGAAGGCTCCTCTTTATTGCATACAAACTACATAGCAACAAGATTTATTGTTTTAGAAAGATAATAAAATCTAGTTTTTTAAAAGCTAAGACTTGACTACATTGAAACTAATATTTAGTAGGATTGTTGCTTCCAAATTCAAATGGCCGAAAGAAGGTACAACTTGAGAGGATAAGATTAAGATAATTGAGTCAATTTTGGTGGTGTTCAAAGTCATGATTCTTATGAGCTTAAGTTTACAAAAGGACAATCAAGAATTAAGATGTCAAACTCAATTTTGTAGAAAGAGATTTTCTACCTTGCCATATTAGAGCATCAACTTTGAGAGGTGATATTAGGGGCAAACAACTAAACTTGAAGGTGAAATTTGGAGAATAGATAAATCTTCATGTCTTCTTTCTGACAAAACTAGTTGAAATTAATTTAGAGGTTGAAATTAGATGCGGTACATTAATTTGTGAAGGTGGATGCCAAAACCCTTCCATTATAACTTAAATAATGTTAATCCATTAGTCAATTATTATGAATGAATCTAAGATGGAAGCTTAAGAAGGGCATACAGATTAATTTAGATAAATAATTATATCAATAGATAAATTTTAATTGGATGTAGTACTTTAATAAAGTTATCAATTTGGATGTGATGTGTTTTTTGGATGAAAAATTGAAATAATATCCATTGCATAGATTGCATAAATTATTGGATGGATGTATGAACTTTAATCTATCAATAGATTAAAAACCTAAATCCAACTTTAACACAAAGTGATTAATTTAGACTAATAAATTAATAATAAGTTGTATATGAGAATTTTAAGACATCCAATAAAGAACACTTAATTATTTTCATACATAGTATTAACTATTGAAATAAAACATAAACTAAACAAATTAAGTGCTTCATTATAGATTCTTCTAATAATTGTAATTTAAAAAGTAAGTATAATATATATATATATATATATATATATATATCAAGTTATCTTATTAAAAATAATAAAATAAAAAATATAACACCATCAAGCTAAAATTGAATATGTTTCTTTCATTATTGATTTTTATAAGAATGTTTGATTTCTATACATATCTATATTTTTGTGTAAACAACTCTTATTATGAAATTTTAAATTTATCTAATTTTTATGATCTTTTAGCTTAATTTCAATACATAAAAAAAATTTAAAAATCTTATTAAATTATTTTAGTAATTAAAAATAATGTAATATACTAAATTATTTGTATTTATTATTTGTATTTTTTTTTGCTATGTCTTCAATCTTAGATTAAAAAAAATAATAAGTTCTTACATATGTATCTAAATTTGTACCTAGTATAAAATGTATTCTTATAATAATAGACAAACCAAATCAATTTGTGATATAATATTTAATGCAATAAACAAGTATTTTTGTCTAAATTAAATTCTCATTTACAACAACATGATACTTAAAATGGAATTCCATAAGTAAACCAAACAAGTCAAAACATGTCCACAAGTTTAAAATAAAGAATCATCCTTGAATTTATTATTAAACACATATAATAAATAAATAAATTAACTTCACTTTAATGTAGTCTTGACCAAATTATCAGCCAACTTCATACATATTATTGCTTATACATATTTGCAAAAATGTGTTTTCAAAAGTTAATACATATATAATACCTATTTGTTGATTTTCTTCATTATAAGCTAAACAATCAAAATAACCAAAAGAAGGAAATCAAGAAATTCTAACAAACTATGTCAAATCATATCAAGGATTTGTAATGCTACATGACATGTCAAACTCAAAATGTGCACATAAAAAGCATGTGCTCCAATACATTATAATACATATTAAGACAAGAATCTATTCATGTTTGTATAATTTAAATCAACACATCATGTACACCAGAGAATACAAAATCAACAACAATTACAAAAAACATACTACAGTTCGTTCTAAAATCAACATATAATTCATATAAACTAGTTGTTAAACCACAAGCTTCAATATAGTATAAATCTACAATGCCATTGTCATCGTGTATTCAATTTAGAAATCGCACTACATTCAACTGTTAAAAAAAAAAGTCATCCGCCATATTAAAAAAAGTAACAATAATAAACCATCCAGTTCTACGATTGCACAAAGATATATAACAGAAAAAAATAGAAAAACATATATATATATATATATATATATATATACACATGTAAAGAGAGGAACAGCAACTCAAACTCAAAACTAAATTTCTAAAACCGCAAACATTAAATTTCCTCCATCCCTGTCTCCCTCCATGAAATCCTGCGTGCAAAAGTGCAGAAGTTTCCAAAACAAAACTAAACCCATCCGTTTCGCAAAGCATACGGAGCTTTAAGCACAAACTACGAAATTAACGCTCTAAACACACGAGACATCCAACGTCGCTCATGCCAACGTCGCCAACAGTGGGTTTCTCCGGACCATCGGTCCCAAACGCGTGAGAGAGAGCCAGCGAAACTCGATGTCATCGCGTGCCCGTCCACCAAGCGAAAGCGCAACAGCCTCCGCAGCTTCGGGGCTTGTCCCGGTAAGTTGAGTCGGAGGTGCTTTCTCAGGTATAAAAAACACGCGGGATCCAGCGAAACGCTTGATTGACCAGATGTCGGAGAAAAGCACAGCGGGTCGAGATCTGCAAGGACGAGAATCAGTCGTATTGTCTTAATTTTTACCACCGGGGAGATCGTCTCGTGGTAGTCCAACCGGGAATTTGTTATTACCCCGGGCTACGGGAGGGGCTTTTTTGCGGTCAATTTGTCCGTGGCTGTTTTATTTGTGCTTGAAAATCCACTTACATTTGATGGGTTTTGGATGTGCAGGGAGTGTCCAAAATATCCACGTGTCGTTTAGCCCTTGGGAGTTTAGTTCTTGAGCTATGGCAGATTTCCAATGGTGACCTTGGGAAGACGTCATGGCTTGCGTCTTGGTCGTTGGCTCCATGAATATCGCGGCAAGGGTTATAAGAGCGTGCTTCGGTCTGGAGGGTCGCGATGGAGTATTCCGCGTCCGAAGGGAACTTGGATCATAATTTTCGGATGGGTCTCGCGGTGGGGGTACGCCTTTGTTGGTGCGAGAAGACTTGCGAACGGGTACAGGAGAGGTTCCATGCTGGGGCTCAACGGGAGAGTCAGCAACATGGTCCGGCCTGGGAGCTTGTTTGTGGTGGCCTAAATGATGCATGAGGGCCAAGCTGGTGAGAGATCGGACGTCATGCCGCGGGGACGGTCTAGCCGGGAGGAGTGGTGGTACCTCGGGTAAGGATGATTGTTTAAGTCGGGACTGAGCACGGGCGGAATCTGGAGCCGGGGGAAGCAAAATATGAAAATTTCTCAACCCCGGGCTGGGGCCATCAGTAGCATCTGGTTCCGGAGCAGCAGACGAGAGGTGATCATCAAGAGGATTCGTGACAGGTAGTGAAGGAGGACGTTGATGCTGGTCCGACGGCACCTGCGGAGCATCAGAAAGAGGGTGTTGGGGCTCACGCGTGGATACACGCGCAGGTGGAGTGGCAGGGAGCTGCGACCCGCTGGGAAGAAAGAAATGTGGGTCTTCCTGGAGTCTGGCATCGGGTGAGCGGCTGGCCTGAACAGGTTGGCTGGGAGCAGCAGGCTCCTTCCGAAAGATGACGTCCCTGGAGACGACGGTGGCGCCGATGCGGAGGAGTTGAACCTTGTATCCCTTGCTGACCGGGCTATAGCCAAGGAATATGCAAGCCTCCGTTTTTCCATCAAGCTTGACACGGAGCGGGTCAGGGATTTTTGCATAACATCGACTTCCAAATACACGAATGTGAGTGAGATCGGGCTTCTTATTGTGCCACATCTCGAATGGAGTGGTGTGAGAAGGAATAGCCTTAGTGGGAAGTCGATTTTGGATATACGTAGTACAGGTGAATGCTTCTCCCCAATACGATTTAGAGAGTTGAGCTTCATGAAGCATGCACCTTGTGGTGTCAAAGAGAGTTCGATTCTTGCGTTCAACCACATCATTTTGGTCTGGTGTATACATTGTGGTGAGTTGACGTTGAATGCCATGTGCTTCCAAGTATTGAGTGAATTCTAAAGATAAGTATTCTCCTCCTTGATCGGAGATGAGAGTTCTGATTTTATAGCCGGTTTGATTTTCAGCCCACGTGTGAATTTTTTTGAATTCATGTAGACATTTGTTCTTTTTTAGTAATAGTCTTAGTACAGTATATCTCGAAAAGTCGTCCATGAATGTAACATAGTATTCATAGCTAGAGATTGATGGAGTAGTGATGGGGCCACTTAAATAAGAGTGGATCAATTCGAGAGATTGAGTGGCTCTTGTAGTCGTTTGTTTTGGAAATTTCTTGGCCGTATGTTTGCCATGGAGGCATATTGGGCACACTTGGTTAGAGATCGTTTTGAGGTGGATTCTTGTGATAGCTGAGTTGGTGATTAATTGCTTGAGGCGGTCACTACTCGGATGATCAAGCCTTTGATGCCACAAGAACTGTTGCGAGCTTGGAACTGAGGCGATGGCTTGAGTGGCTTTTGGTAACGGGGTTGTAGTAGGTAGTAGTGTAGTAATATGAGCGAAAAAGACAGCAGCTATAAGAGGTGGCCAATTTGGCCATGGAGGGATCTCCAAGAGGCCATGGTGTCCTTGCAAGTTTGATATGCCGAGGTGGAGAGGAATCTGTTGTGCTCCGTGGTAACGAGTAGGACTCCGAGGCTCTAGTAGTGGCAATTGAGAGGCATAGGAGTTGAAGGCGGAAGATAACTCTATGCTGACTGTCTACCAGCCAGAGTTGCTCATAGTCGGAGGTGCTTTCTCAGGTATAAAAAACACGCGGGATCCAGCGAAACGCTTGATTGACCAGATATCGGAGATAAGCACTGCGGGTCGAGTCCTGCAACGACGAAGTGGATCCACCTCACGTTCAGCGACGTCGTTGTGCTGTGCGCCGCCTTTCGACATTACAGCACCGCGTGCAGCGAGACCTGCTGCTTGGCGCACGGCCTTGAATCCCTCCGGCGTATAAAAGATCTGTGCAGCCCATGGCTTCCCATCGCTCCATTCACCAAGCACTCTCCAAGCCCGTAGACGTCAGTGCGGCCACGACTCTTCTTGTTTCTCAAATTCCCCAGGACAGGACAAGACAGCTCAGGACAACACAAGACAACTCAGGGAATTGATGGAAACAGTATAAGTGACTAGCCAACGTAAGGAACATACTAAATGAATCGTCGCAACTAATCAATTAGGCCAGACCTAAATGGTTGCACCTCCCTCAATTGAATATTAACAGTGTACACTTAATTTTCAAAAAGGGGAATATGTTCTCTCTATGAAAAGCTCTCAAGTATTCTTGCTTCTAATATGGTATCAGAACTAAGCTCTGGGAAAGTTTTATGATAGTTTTATGATATATATTTAAGAAAACACCATAGACAAAAAAAAAAAAGGGCTCTGGATTAGACGTTTTATATAGAAAGTTGGGGCACCAATGAATCCTCCCCTTGTCTTCAAACATGGCTGCAAGCAACATTACGTTGGATAAGTGTTCTAAGTTTGATGGCTCGTGGTATTCTATCCGAAAGAAAAGGATTCAAGTGAAGTTTGAAATGGAGAACTTATGGGATGTAGTTTCACAAAAAGAAACACAACGAACACCTATTCAAGAAGAGAATAAAACATTAACTTTACAATGAACTAATTTAACTGAAATCCTTACTTGGAAAAAAAAATGATCATGTTGCTTTAACAACAATTTGAGATTGTGTAGAAAATCCAATTTTCTCTCATGTCGGAGCATACAAGACATCCAATAAAGCATAGCTGGCCCTTGAAAATACATACTCCACAAGTGATATTGCCATTGAATCCCACCTACAAGAAAAATTCATCACTCAAAAGATGAAAATTGGAGAATCAGTAACTCAACATATACACAACTTTAGAAGTCTACTTCAACTATACACTTCTGTCAAAACTATCATTTCTATTCAAATAAAAATCCTTACTCTCATGAGATCCATACTATCCTAATATAGCACCATGATACAAACGCTTCAGACAATAGAGACTGTAACACTCTCCATGCTGATTGCAATCCTCTTGTAACAAGAAATAGCCATGAAAAGCTATTACAAAAACAAAACACAAGTTGCTACAAATTTAACAACAACAAATCATGATGAGAAGAAAAATAACCAAACATGGAAGCAAGAAGAAGTAGAGGAATTATCTTGTGCTTTCTATGCCCATGTTTATATTACACAAGTTTTTTGGTCAGTGAAATCACCTAAGCCTAGAACCACCAAAGACACACAATGGCTCATTGATACGAGTGCCACCCACTATCACACACATACTCATGTAAGCTAGTAATTGCATATACAAATAGGTGGAAGTAAGTAAAAGTAGGTAAAAGTAAATTAATTCTATAGTATTTAATATGAAAGCTTCCTAAAAGCTTCATAGACGCTGCTTTGACTTCATAGGTGTCTTCAATTGACTTTTTGGATTAGAAACGTGGTCAAGAAGTTGGCCATGTACCACACATGTTGTTAGCTTGAAGATCAAGCTAACTATGTAGCCCACACGTAGAAAAACTTGCCTTATAAGTCAAGGCATGTGTCCTACAAAGTCAACACATATTGGAGGTCCTATAGAACGCTGCCACGTAGCCCCTAGTTAGATAATATATATAGAGACAAGAGTGAAGCCTTCTTCACTCTTGTCAACTCCTTTCTTGCTTCCAGTCTAGTTTCAAGGGTCTCTAGTTTTCTTGTCTTTTGGCAATAGCCATTCTAGTTTCTCTTTCAATATATATACTTATTTATTTATATTTTGTTTCTTTTTTTTGAGTGAAGGCTCACTTGTCTAAATTACTTTTTCATAAAGTTCTTGTCTTTGACAGATTGACAAGAGTACACCTACAATATCAGAGCTTTATCTAATCTTGATTAAGAGTAGATTACCCCTTTTTCTTGATAAGATACAAGCATATTAGAAGTTGCGGATTACCCTCTTCTAAACTGATATTGTCCTTAGTATTTTCTTTGTTCCCAAGTCCTCTTTTCTATTTGTCTTGAGCGATGTTAGACATCTTCTCTTTTCTAAGTGTTACTATGGCAGAACTTCTTGAAATGAAGAGTGCAATGGTACAAATGCAAGAGCAATTGAACGAGTTAATGCTTGTGATGCATCAACTCAATTTACCACCACAAGGAGCAACAAGATTGGTTGGAAGTGAAGATATAGAAATGGTTGGAGCTGCTTCAAGATCTGCACCAAACCATGTCCTTTCTCCTATGGTGGAACGCCCTTCAAATGTTAGAGAACCAAGAATTGCCCTATCCGAGAAGTTTGATGGCACTAGATCAAAGTTTCGAGGATTTATCAATCAAGTGCAACTTGTGATTGGACTTCAATCCCAAAGCTATCCAATTCTAGGATCGCAAGTTAGATTCATTGGTACGCTTCTTTCAGGTTCAGCATTATCGTGATTTTCATCTTTTCTTGAACGACGAGATCCAATATTGGATAATCTAAAGGCTTTTTTGGCAGAGTTTTAATCCATGTATGGAGAACATGAAGCAATTCATGTTGCAACCAATAAGATCCGTATTTTACGACAAGGCAATCAATCAGTAACGTTCTATGCTTCACAATTTCGATAACTTGTAACTAATATTAAGTGGAATGATACTGCACTTATTAGCCAATTTCTCTACGGATTATAATATGAGGTAAAAAAATTAATGCTCAACTTACCTGATCCTCAAACATTGAGTCAAGCAATTGACTTTGCTATGAAGTGCGACAATCGCCTTTTTGAATTCCGTTCTGAGAATTGAGCTCAAAGTTACTATAATTCAATGGCAATACCAATACCTCTTCAACACATACATTCGGAAGTAGAGGATATACAAATTGATGCAGTACATTTCAAACCTCTTACTGAGCAAGAAAAGACTCGTCGTCGTCAAGAAGGATTATGTTTATATTGTGGAGAACCAAAGTACACTGCTCAACATTGTCCAAAGAAACGACGCAATGACAAAATGAGGGGTATGGCTGTGAAAGAAGACAATATGTCGGAAAATGAGTGTGTCCAGCTACAATAGGGACCGTGTGATTGGAACCTTGCACAATATCTAGTAAAGGTCCTATTCTCTCCTCAGAGCCCTCTCCTTGTTTTACATTAAATGTTATTTTAGGACCTAAATATTACTAGATGGTCGTCCATTGTCTTCTAGAGATATTACTCATGAAACCCTTCCTATAGAAGTAATAATCAATGGTCATAATAGTTTTGTAGTATTTAATATCATTAGATCTCCCTCTAATCTAGTCATTTTAGGTTTATCATGGTTAGAAAAATACAACCGTCAAATAGATTGGATTTCTCAAATTCTTACTTTCTCTAAAAGTATAACTGACAATATAGTTAATCAAGTAGAGAGTCATAAGTCCAGTTCAATTAAACCCGTATTTATAGGTACAAAAGCTTTCTTGCATGCTGCTATGAAAGAATCACCATATATTATTTATGCCACACCTATTTCTACTGGTGAAAAGACTTCAAGTGGCATTTTAAGCTAATATCAAGAATTTCAAAATATATTCAAAAAAAAAAAAATTGGATACACTCCCGGAACATCGTTCCTATGATTGCTCAATTGACCTTCAAAAACGAGCACAACCGCCATTTGGACCAATCTACAGTTTATCACAAAATGAGTTGAATGAAAATTATTGAAGAAAATCTAGCCAAGAATTTCATATTCCATTCTAAATCTCCAATGGAGCTTCAATTCTATTTGTGAAGAAAAAAGATGGATCATTGCGAATGTGTGTTGATTATGGAGGACTCAACAAGATTACCATCAAGAACAGGTATCCACTACCTTTAATATTTGAACTTCTTGATCAGCTGAATCAAGCTAAGATCTATACAAAAATAGATCTTCGGGGAGCATACAATCTAGTATGCATCAAAGAAGGAGATGAATGGAAGACTGCGTTTCGAACTATATATAGACATTTTGAATACAACGTCATGCCTTTTGGACTTACAAATGCACCAGCAGCTTTTCAACATCTAATGAATGATATTTTTCAAGATTTTTTGGACGATTTTGTGGTTTGTTA